TTGTGGGACACTCTTGTGGGACACTCTTGTGGGACACTCTTGTGGGAAACTCTTGTGGGACACTCTTGTAGGAAACTCTTGTGGGACACTCTTGTGGGACACTCCTGTAGGACACTCTTGTGGGATACTCTTGTGGGACACTCTTGTGGGACACACTTGTGGGACACTCTTGTGGGACAATGTTGTGGGACACTCATACGGGACACTCTTGTGGGACACTCTTGTAGGACACTCTTGTGGGACATGCGGGACACTCTTGTGGGACACTCTTGTGGGACACTCTTGTAGGACACTCTTGTGGGATACTCCTGTCGGACACTCTTGTGGGACACTCTTGTGGGACACTGTTGTAGGAAGCTCTTGTGGGACACTCTTGTAGGACACTCTGAGTCTCAAAAACGAGCGTTTCGTAAGAGACTTCCTCCAAAAGTCACACGTCAAGTCTCCAAAACGAGCGTTTCGTACGAGACTTCCTCCAAAAGTCACATGTCAAGTCCCCAAAACGAGCGTTTCGTACGAGACTTCATCAAAAACTCACATGTCAAAGTCTGCAAAACGAACGTTTCGCACGAGACTTCCTCCAAAAGTCCAGCGGAAACACCCATCGGAGCACACACATCACGCAGCCCTGCCAAGCAGTTTCGCGATTCCAGCCCCTCCAAACGACACCCGCTCACACGCCAATCCCAACGTGACAGCGACATTCACCTCTACCACAACTCACAACCTCCCGATTCCCTGCGCCTGCCATGAATCTTTCCGCGTCCACACGTCTAACGCGCACAAAGTACTGCGCCTGCCAGTCACCTCCGTCACACATCGCAACCTCACGATTCCCTGCGCCTGCCACGAAAATCCCACTTCCACACCTCAAAACCCGCACAAAGTCCTGCGCCTGCCACGAAAAGTAACAATGTCATCTCATGTGAGCTTCAACAAAATTTGCACCACACCACACGTTTGGAATGATTTCGACCCGTTCTGAGCACACTCCCATCCACCAAAATCGGCATTTCAGCTGAGACTTGTCACGAAAACAGAGCTTCGAGGCCACACCCTGAAACGCAAGTCCCAATGGCACGGCCACATCCAACACCCCAAAAACACGACTCTCCAAACGCTAATCCCAATGGAACTGCGTAGCAAACTGCGGATCTCACAAAACGCTGCGCCTGTGCAGTGAAGTGCATCACGCTTCTTGCGCGACATGTCCTTTTCACGCAAATCACAATGGACTCGCGTCGCAAACTAACACGTGACACATCCATGCATAGTCACTTGCAAAAGCTTCCCCCAATGGCAGCGCCTTAGCGACCTACTGCGAACGGTTGCGGACGGTTGCGAACATAGAAGCAACGGGTCGCGAACAAGACTCTACCCCCAGACCCCCAGAGTTAAACGAGAACCCTTCGCTACGCATTCGGGAAAACATCCCGGAAACCTTTGCTTAGTCATTGTGAATCTTATGAAAGAAGTGTTTGAATTTGAGCGAAGAGGTCCCATAGGAATAGAGGCGTGACCATGAGAAAGGGGTGCCCATGTCTTGGAGAAGAAGGCAGGTTTCCTCGTGACAGCTTGGATTCAAACATTGCGTCAAAGTTAAAGCGAAAGGAGCGAGGACAAGTGCGGTGGTCTTTGATGGTTTTTGCGAAGAATAGAACCATCGCTGTCAGGGCTGAAGGCTGGCTGAGTTGGTCTGTCGCGCCCCGTGAGCGGGCAACGGAATTGGAGGACTCAGAACCCACTGTCAGAGCTGAAGCTTAGAGAAACAAGGATCAACAGGCAGAGATTCCAAGATAAAGAGAAACATCAAAAGTAAAGCGTCGAGAGGTTTCTGTAGAATTCTATCGAAAAGCTAGACACCGCGAGAATAAACTTTACCTACCACATCATAAATCACTACATTACTCGTCAGCACGCTTCACTTCGCTTGATCACTACTCTTGCAGATCACCGGTTCACCACCACATCACAAGTCGCCGCCTTGCGCTTCAGCACTGCATTCACCAGTTCGAAGTTCACAGCTAATCACATCTACTCTTTACAAGAATGCCCGCGTAAAAAATATTAAACAAGCAGAGTCTACGAACAAGAACAGAGAGTCCCTTCGCAACAAGACAGGCTTGATTACGAGAAGACATGTCCATTCACAAGAGGAGAGCGTTGAACTAGAACACGGAGGCTCATTGACAAGAAGACAAGCTTGACAGGCCCTTCACGAGCACACTGGTTTCACTATGAGCTAGCTTTCTTGCCCATGAGAGAGGACGTGTGGAATGGGAACAGAGAGGTCTCATCGCAAGAAGACAGGTTTGATTGTGAGAAGACCTACCTACTTCTCACATTATGGAGGCCTCATTGCGCGAAGAAAGGAGGTTTGATTCAGTTTGATTCCGACTTTCCTGAAGTGTGAGAAGGGTATTTTGCTCGTAAGAGCCGGTTTGAATAGGACACGGAGGGCCCTTTTGCTAGAAGAAATGTTTGGGAAGGCCCCTTTCTACGAAAACAGGTGTGACGGCAGCATCTTGGATTTGCACTGCTTTTGAGGCCAGAAACAAACCTTGAAGCTTGGTGCGACCAGTTCCAAAGAGCAGCTCGAGAGGAGTGCTCCTTCCACGCTGAGTATTGCAACAGATTATCAGATTATCATAGGAAAAATTGACAGCAAAGATCAGCAAAGCTCCTTGATGTGGAGGCCATGCAAAATGCCTTCTAGTAACCGAGACAATACCTCTTCACCTGGGATAGCTCAAAGCTAGTCCCAAAGCTACTTGCAGTCTGGACCCCCTGTCGTCATTCCTAGATTCCAGAACATTGGCCCTTGGGGTTCTTACTTCACCATGTTCTTTTACAAATGGTAACTTTGTGGGCATGTTGCATTGGTGTGCAAAGAATATGCCTGAAGTGGCTGTGATTGGTTTTCAGTTGAGGACTTCTACAAAGTGTGGAGGTCTTTGGCTGTGCCCAACTGCAGTGGCGCAGATGCACAATGATGTAGTTTTAGCAAGATGTGCTCGTCCCTCAACGTGATTTTGCATGCTGAAACGATTTGCCTAGTGGTGTGCCTTGCTTGAAAGGTGGTGATTTGGATGTGATGTTGGATGAAATCCTTCAGGCGATGAGTGGCGAGGCACTGCTACTTTAAATAATTATCACTTGCCATCGTGCAAATTCCATTGCAAATTTCTGCAAGGTGCACACCGTTATGATTTGTGCATGTTCGAAGGTGAAGCTCGAAGATGCGGCAAAGGCAGAGAGGGCTTGCCAAAAGCTGCTCAAAAAGTGCTTTGCGAGACTCTCAGACCCAAAGACCGAGACCTTTGACCAAAGCTGCAAACGAAAAACTCCATAGCTCAGGCTGCTCTTGATTTGGCAGTAAGTGCCTTGACGTTTGAGCTCGCACCTTGGTTTTTCTTTTTCGCACTTTCGCTAAATGTGACCAAGATGAGTCAAGAGGCCTGTCAAACCATCTACAACGCCAGGCGGGAGTTTGTGCAGTTCCAACTCTCGGATTCCACGAATTCTTCCAACGCACCTCATCAGATTGCAGCAGATTGAGTCGGTACTGGCCCAGAAAGCCTGAGCTGTGCTGGTGCTGATCTTGGCCTCATAAAGTTCAGAGCAGTCAAGAGCTTGCATTGGAAGTGCGTCAATAGCTGCAAACAGAGCTCCATGCTCAATCTTTGGCACTTACTGAGCGGGCAAGGTATGACCCAGCCATGATGCCAGTTGCATTTCACTCGCAGGAGAGAAGTTGTGCCAGGGCTTGACGGGCAGACCCTGTATTATGTTTGATCTAAAGATGATATAAAACGCATTGTAAATCAAGTCTCACAAGTCAGGCAGGCTTGAGTTCACGTGGTCACAGGAAATTTGCTTGGACAAGATAGAGTGAGTGCAGGGACAAGTACATATATATGTTTGGGTGCTTGACCATCTCCTGTGGGGTTTGCTGCATTCTCGATGGTGTCACCACTGGTTTCGAATGATTTGTCTTTCTTTTGTTTCTTCTCAGATCCTCTTTCTTTTCTTCCTTCCTTGATGTTCCAGTTAACTTTATTTCTTTTGTTGTCAAAGCCCTCAGGCTGTGCACAGCTCCGTGGAAGTAAGACTTGGCAGCATGAGGCTGCACTAGGTTGGTACCTATTTTTCAGGTCGCACTGAAAAGCAATTGGTGAGGAAAGTCCACGGACCACTACAAGACAGAGACCGCTGGGAGAGAACTGGAAGAAAATTGCAAATCTGAATACTGTACACAAACGCATAGTTCCCGGCGCAGTAGTCTGTACAACACTGGCAACTTGCTAACTTGCCGACAAGGAGGACTAATGGACCAATATTCAGCACTTACCAATTGGTAGTAGGAAACGAATGTTTGACTTTGGTAGTGCTTCGTTCTTTGATGCTTTGCTATGGAGCATTCACGGACATAGTCAGGGCCATGGCTTTCATCATTTGTACAACATGGCAGATCACCAGAGCATTCAGATTGGAGTGCGCTGGACAATAGAACTGTAGACTTTGCACCAGGACGTCGAAAGGTTGGCAGAGAGCAAGCTGGAATTTCAAGCACACCCACCAGACTCCACTGAAACTGTAGTTGACTCAGAGCACTTGGTTATGGAAACCTTTGTCCAGCTCATAGTGGTCTCATTGTACTTGCAGGCCTCAGGAAAGGAAGCAAAGAGCCAGGTGCATTGCGCCAGTGAGAGGTATACCAGGTAGTTCATTGTTTCTTGGTGACAGTTGCAGTACTTTCCCCATGTACATTCGTGTGAAGTCCTTTTGACTCGTCAAGCTTTTGTTCATCCCAATCCTTGTGCTTGTTCCTTCTTGATCCGTTGAATAAAAGGAACTTTCATTTCAACAGCAACAGTCAACAGTACCCCTGTGTTTTTTTGATTCCCTGCATGTTTTGGCTGCTTAAAGCAACTTATTGTTTCCAGTTCTTTGCACAGTGCTGGCAATTCAAACTCCCTTTGTTTGTGACACCTGTTTTTTTGACCGGAGGTTCCACTACGCCGAAGTGCGTGTGGCCTCACCACGCCGGACAAACATAAGCAAGGAGCATCCAGACAGACAAGGAGCGCTGGGTGTTGCGTGCGTTGAGAGGACAGGGCGGATGTGCTTTGAACGAAAGCTTGTTTCAAAAGAAGCATCCGAATGGTTGGGAATGGTCAAATGCATAGTCCCACCACCTGCATGAAGCTTTTTTCATGCCCGAGTTTTTGAGCAGAACCCCACCACAGATCTACCAGAATCTACCATTTTGACGCATGTTTAAAATGTGTTCAATATTTTTCCAAGCAAGGACTTTTGTTTGTTTGACTGGGTACCATACACGCATGGCTCAAGGCACAGGTGCTCAAGGGGTGCCACAAGAATCGTCTAGTACGGATCCCCCTTGCACCGCGTGCTATATCACGGTGTTCTTGGAGGGTTGCACCGCCTCTGACTTCTTAGATTACCACTGACCACCCTCTACTTTGCCCATCATCGTGGAGAACTTTGGCATCTCTATCACAACAAATACAAGATCACCTTGGCAAGGACAGTCTCTGGCTTCTTGGGCCTTGCGTTGCTCCTTCGGCCTTGGGAACTTTGCCAACTGCCAGATCACTTTGCCCGTGATCCTGCATCACATATAGCAGGAGGGCCTGAACGTGCTCGGTGCTGACATCCCATGACTTGGCATCGCGCATACACCGCATGCTCCAATACTAGATGCCGGAGTTGGGTGTGGATGGACACTACTATGTGGAACAGCTTGGCAGAGATCTCAGGCCACTGCAAAGGGAAAAGGGAATCGAAAAGGACACGGCAGGGGGCTTTGCTGGAGCTACCGCCAGGTGCATCCACAGTCCACAGCTCCAGACTCTAGAGTCTACGCCGGACGCCCCGCCGGAAGAAGTCAGGGCCAAGCTTCAAGAGTTAGGCGTTGGACCGCCAACCACACAGCCAAAACCCAGGCTTTCGAATTTGCTTCGAGATCTCAGCCCCACAGCCACAGACTGACAAAGAAGTTGGCTTGAGACTTTGTCCACCAGAAAACACGCGGGGCCGCTCATTCCTCGGCGACTTTGACAGGAACGCGTGCGCAGACAGCAACAGCAGAGACGAAGACAGCAGCGTTGATCTACAGAATGAGCACTTTTCCCGGACTCTGGTACAAGGAGAGGAAGGCCGTTCAGAATTGCAAAGACGTCTTCATCACACAAGTCTATTTATCAGGCCTCAACACAAGACCCTGCGCGTCAGAGACCCCGACTCCTCTTGGGTCTGCCTGGGTGAGAGCGACCTTGAGGAGAAGAGGCCTGGTTGAATGAGAGACAGCAGAAGTGGAGAAGGGAGCGGTTGGAGTTTCGTGAGGAGGAGGGAAGAGGATGAGCGTGGTTGCAGAGCTGCGTGAGGAGGATTCATTGTGAGAGGACTCGTTGTGGATGGTGGGGCGCTTGAAGAAGCGGATCCAGACAGGAAGCGTCGACAAGCCTGTGAGAACGCGCCAAAGTACATGGAAAGGAGGACTATAGTATGTTATGTTCTTTTGGCTGCCGCTCATCCAAGGAGCAGCGCAGCAGGACCGAGAGATCCAAGAGACACAGTCACAACAAGCTTGGAAGAGATGAACGAACAGAATGAAATTCTGCATAGCAGAAAAGTATTAGCAAATGCGTCGCAATAGCAACATCCCTAGCGGACGACAGGCCGAAAGCACACTCACGTGAGGAGGAGTGTGAAACACTTTCATCATGTCGCCATAGGATCACACACGCGCGCACTCAAATGAGAAGTGTACCGCTGAGCCCTTGTCGCATCCCAAAAATTCACAATAACTTTACACTGTGAGGTGCTTGTTCCCCACATGCTAGTGCGGGGTTCTTACTTTTTGTCGCGCCTGCCCAACTCCTTCTCCCACGCTGCTCCTCCTCCACAACTCACTCACACCAACTCTCACGCACGCACACACGCACACACACACACCAAGCTTCCACCAACTCATTCACACCAACTTACACGCGCGCGCACACACTTATAGGAATGCGTACTGACTTGACAGCGGTGCCACACGCCAGCCCAAGAAACCAAATCCTGAAAAACCAGGTGAGGGGCCGAGCGCCTTTAGTTAAAGGCCAAAGTTCCAACTCCACGAGGCGACGAACAGGTCGAAGTGACGGCGGTCGCTCTTGTCTGCAGAGTGCACTCGCCCTTTATGGAAGATGAGGGTGACAGCTTGCAAACGCCATAACCAAGCAGGTAACTGGATTCTGCGTCCAGAATCCATATCAGTGACTCGAAACAGCCTCTTCGTTGGACTGCCACTGTTACAAGTCAGGCAGCCCCCCTGCTGTCGACCGAAGCAAAAAAGCAAGCAGCGCATTCCAAAAGGGTCCCTGTGATTCCAAGGGTCACACACATACACCAACCTACCCGCGCGAACTTATGCACACATGGTGGCGTTGAAAGTCACGGCATTGAGGATGACGGCGTTGAAATATCGCTAGCCAACTTTCTAAAGGGCGCCGACTAAAGTCTGCATAATTGTTTCAACTATACCATGGGCAGGCTTGGGGTCTAGACAAGTTTTGCATCAAGCAAGATCGAGATTTGTGATTTGTGTACCTTATTGCTTTGCGCGTGGCAGACGGTGTGATTGGTGTTACTGTTTCGTGTCTCCACGAACGCCAATCTTCCTGGTTCCGTGTATTGGCGCGATGTTTGGAAACAGATCGTGATCTTGGTCTTGCTCACCGTGTGCGTTCTGCCACCAACTGTGGGCAATTCAGCGTGGCTGTCCGGTCCTGCGGCTCTGCGCCATGTTGCAGGCACGCGGACATGGACCTAGCGTTGGCTTTTCAAACGCGCTCCAAAGTCCTGTTTTGGCTGATGACTTAGGACAGGCGCGCTTTCTACCAGATCCCATTCTTGGGATTCTCCTTCGTTCCTAGCCCTCAGTATTTCGCCGTATCAATAAAATCAAAACTCAAACTGGGCGCATCTCAAATGAAAGCGTTAAGAAAGATTTTAGGCATGGCTACCGAGTACATAGTACATAAATCGTGCCAACGCAAACGCAGATGTGTTCAGAAGAGCAAATTCACCACATCTCCAGTAATCACCTCGCAAACAAAATCCTACCCGCCCAAGAAGCCTTGAAGACTCGAAGGATTGCGTTAGCCAGGAGAATTCTTCGCCATTCTTCGCCCATGAACGCCCGTGAGAATGGTAAGCTTCAAAAAACGATTCAGCGTCTCCACCCAAACAGTGGACCAGACCTACAATACCTGGCGTTATCGTTGGAGCCAAATCCGACATAGCAAGTTGACTTTCATAAATCTTGAGCGGTTGGCTCTAATCCTCGACGCCGCCAACAGGTAACAATTTTGAAAACCGCCCTTACCAATTTGATGCCTCGACTTCGAAACAAATCGATTCTGTAATTTGTTTGCGCTTCTCTTACATTATCAAGTTTTAAGTCTATCTTTGCCAGCCAGGCAATGGAAAGTTGATTTTTATTGTTTTTTCATTTAGATCTTCATTTAGATCATCATTTTTTACAAAATATTTTTGTCTTATTTTCATTTATTTTGGGATTATCAATTTTTTGGCGTCATGCTCATCCTTCCCGAACTGGTTGGCTTTGCTGTCACTTCCCATGGGCTTCCAAAATCACTTCAGTCACAGTCAGCGCCCCAAACTATATATAGATGCGTGAAGGGATTCCCTCACCATTCCCTTCCCGGGCAATCGAAACCAAGGATCAAAATCATGGATTGCAACCTGCAAGCTGCTGAGCTAAACCACTGGGCCCCAAAAGCCTGAGCCTAGTGGCCTAGTGGCCTAAAAATTTGTCATGCAGGGATGGGAAGTAAAACAGGTTAGTGAAGAGACAGCCCTGAACGAAAACTAAAATTACACACGAAATTGTCAGAAACAATATAAACAATTATGACCCACATGAAGACCAAAATGACAGATGAAAAGAACATGATTAACCAAATGAAAACCAACATCACAAATGAAATAAATGATGCACCAAATGAACAACAAAATGACAAATGAAAAAATGAGGAAGCAAATGAAAACCAAAATGCCACAAGAAAAATAATGCAACAAGATGGAACCCACGAACCCGAATGCAAATACGTTCGAAAAACTACATATGTCCAAACGACACTCTTGTAGGACACTCTTGTGGGACACTCTTATAGGACACTCTTGCGGGACACTCTTGTGGGACACTCTTGTAGGACACTCTTGTGGGACACTCTTGTGAGACTTCCTCCAAAAGTCAAGCGGAAACACCCATCGGAGCACACACATCACGCAGCCCTGCCAAGCAGTTTCGCGATGCCAGCCCCTCCAAACAACATCCGCTCACACGCCAATCCCAATGTGACAGCGACATTCACCTCTACCACAACTCACAACCTCACGATTCCCTGCGCCTGCCACGAATCTTTCCGCGTCCACACGTCTAACGCGCACAAAGTACTGCGCCTGCCACGAAATGTCACCTCCGTCACACCTCGCTACCTCACGATTCCCTGCGCCTGCCACGAGAATCGCACTTCCACGCCTCAAAACCCGCGCAAAGTCCTGCGCCTGCCGCGAAAAGTGACAATATCATCTCATGTGAGCTTCATTTGCACCACACCACACGTTTGGAATGATTTCGACCCGTTCTGAGCACACTGCCATCCACCAAAATCGCCATTTCAGCTGAGACTTGTCACGAAAACCGAGCTTCGATGCCACACCCTGAAACGCAAATCCCAATGGCACGGCCACATCCAACACCCCAAAAACACGACTCTCCCACACGCTAATCCCAATGGAACTGCGCAGCAAACTGCAGATCTCACAAAACTCTGCGCCTGTGCAGCGAAATGCATCACGTTTCTTGCGCGACATGTCATTGTCATGCAAATCACAATGGAATAGCGGCGCAAACTAACGTATGACGCATCCATGCAAAGTCACTTGCAAAAGCTTTCCCCAATGGCAGCAAATTTGAGACGCGACGACGACGACAAAAGAAGAGAGACGACGACGCGACGCAAGCCATGCAAACACAGCTCCAACC